ATTCTCTCATCTAGTACAGTGGTTGGCGAGTAGGCGGTCGGCGCGGATTATGTAGCTCGGTGTCCGCAACACATTTGGTGAAGGAAGAACTGTTTAAAAATAATATAAATTAAATAATCTTTGAATATTGATTGTGTTTCATTATTATAATTTACTTGTAGAAAACAGTATTTTATGCAATCGTTATATAATGAGGGTTCTTAAAGTCGAGCACCGTGTTTAGGCCATAAGTCTTTGCCTCGTGGTCTAAGCAATAGGTACGAGATTTTAAGGCCTAATTATCATGATTGCATACAACACTTTATCTGCGAATAAATAAAATATTGAAATATACATATTTAATGTATATTTTGTTATCGATCCACGACAACAAACGCATTTCTTAAAATAAATTTTGACCCATTTATTAGGGTAGGCAAATGTTCCACCATACAACTTCTTTGTACATTAAGACGAAAGCCAACAAACGCTACAAAACAAAAAACCAAAAAGTTAGAACAGAATTGGTCAAGTACCGCATGGTTTTTAACCAATATTTTTTTTATAAAGATTTATGGCCCGGTTGCAAGACTTTTAGGCCAATTTAACCAATCAGAAGGCATCCTAATAGGTATTTTAATTATCAATAATACGTTCTTTTTTTGAAACTCATTACAGTTTTGCGTACAGTACTTTAATACTCATTATAGTTACATTAGTATAATACTCAGTTAGTTACTATGTACAGAATTATAATGAAATTTTTCAGGTTAGTGGCGAGTAGGTACCATAGACAATAGAATTTTGATTCAGAACTAAAAAGAGCGCCTTTATGATATGGTTTATGAAATTATAATTCACGGATTAAAGTGCAGGAGTAGAAAAAGTATTGTATGCAATCATTACTTAATTAGGTTTTAAAATTTAGTACGTATTACTTAGGCCATTAGGCAAAACCTCGTGGCAAAACACGGTACTCGACTTTAAGAACTCTCATTATGCAACGATTGCATAAAATAAATATTTTCAGATCTATTTGTACCAATTGTACCCAATTGTAGTTTTAACGGTTTCAACATGATATAACTCACTTCGTTTCTCAGTTGGTTCTGGTAACTTTTTGGCTGTACTAAAAATTACCAAACGTTTACCACGTTTTTGTCAGTTACATACACAAGCACAAGTGCCATAAAAACAAGTTGTTATCACTTTTTGTAATACAGGAAATTTTACAGATATAATAACGTCAATACGTTGGCAACTGCACAAACTATATTAGTTATTAAACAACTCATGACATACAGCAATCTAATAAATAGGTAAGTAAATTAGTTTGTACAGTTGTGTATTACTTCTAATTATACGGCTCATTACACGGAAAGATAATATAGGGCTATTCAATTTCTTAATAAAGACAAATTTCTATACATTCAATTGGTTAAGAATGGACTTTTATTAAACGCGCAAAAAGCTCTCTAAATTGTGACATATGTATGGATTTCAAATTATCTGCGAGTCACTGGAGGCGAAGCGGAACAAACTGTTTTGCTAGATCACACAGTTTAGGTATTTACAGTTAAAAAACGGTCTTACAAAAAATATACTATACACCTAAAGACGTTATCTAAAGAATGCACTTATTTGTTATAATTATTAATACAAAGATCGAATACTCAGAAAAAAATCCTTCGAGCCGGCCGGATTCGAACCGACGTCTTCTAGCATACCGTGCCAGACGCTATGCCAACTAACTCACGGAATGAACCAGCAAACCTCACGAATTTTTCTATGTGCTTCCGTCTTATCTTTGTACTTGGTTTTTCAACGACTTTTTAGCCGTAGCGCCATCTATGAGAAATCTATGATATTTCGTCACCCAGTTAGATACCTATACAGCTACCAGCCCCGGATAGAGACGTAGCTATCATTGTAATTAAATTTTTGTAAAGCTGTATAGGTATTAAATTCCCATTTATTCCAAATTTTCAAATTGTCCAGCGGCTTAACGAAACGCCGCGCTGCCTGCTGCCCCGTCAGTCGTCATCGGGCGCTTGTCGACGTCGGAACTGTGTCAAAATTTCTCCGCCTGTTCTTATTTTGATCTAGTGTTGAAATTAGATTCTGTCGAAGTATGGTTATAAGGTAAAGTTTGACGGATTGACCGATTTATACCTATACCTTATTCACAGAAGATAAGTAATTTTATTTCCTTGAATGATTGACAGAACCTATTTCACCTACCAAGAACAGAAAAACCAGATTGTTGTACAGTCAGCAGCATATTAAGATATACACTTTTGTTCTAATCTCGCCTAATGAATAACGGAACAAGATCCGTCAATGTGTAGATGTTATGCTGCCATGCGTACTTAATATTTTTTTATAACATCAAGTGACAGAACGCACAAGTCGTGCGCCTGACCATAACAGTGGCAGTGCCACTCAGAGCTTTAAATCGCAAATATTTGAAGGGCACTGCCGCTGCGTCAGTCGCCCTGAGACGTAAGTTGACAAGTCTCATGTGCCTGTAATTTCACCAGCAACCTTACCGTTCAAAACCGGAACACAGTAATGCTGAAATTACTGCTTGATGGCAGTACTTCCCTGGACTAACTCTTTCACAAGGAGCTCTTCTGTTACTAAATTTAATTTAAGTAACCAGTATACCTTGTAATAATTATTTAAATACATATTAATTTATTAAAACATTGATTTTATGTAATAATCCAGGCAATGATCATAATTTTAACAGCTAGTAGAGTTATTGTTTTTATTCAAAATGATACTAATCTAACGTCGTGTCGCGGCCGGAATATTTTCATATTGATATTACTTCATTCAAAATACACGCAAAATAGGCGCCTCGACGTCGAGTTGCGGAAACTAGCCCGTTGCACCAATACCAATACCAATACTTCATTCTACTAATAAATAGCTATAACATTTAATAGTTTATTATTATCATTACTTTATTATGACATTGTATAAATTCTGTACTTGTAAGTTGCAATTAGAAGCTAGTGAAGATAGCCGGGGTTACTGTTGAATTACGACGTGGAATGTGAACGTGAGCCCTGTGCCGCTGTGTTGTAGACTGAAAAACCTGATTCGGGATACAATTGCGTGTGTTTTTCTGCGGTCTGGACCTCGGAGGCCTTTCCCTTTGATTCGTTAAACAACGAATGCTGTCAATTTAGTGGTCATTTCTTAAAATTAAGATTGAAGGTGTATGATGTTACTTGTTATAATTGGCGGTGGAGGATCGTTCTCATACGTTGCAAAACAAAACGATGCCTTACTTTTTCACGCTCGTATCTTATGAAGAGTATAAGAGATTGAGGAGATGGCAAAACTTTCTATTTATTTTAAATTAGTTATCAAGAGGGTTAATTTTGATGCATTCCTTTAAAAATAGGTAAAAACCAGTGTGTGTATATGAAGGAAATGTTATGTGAAATCAGTCTGCAAAATTTGTAATACAATATGAATACAATCCACTTTTTGCATTCCAGTAACTCGTCAAATCAAAAAATCGGTTTATTTATCAAATATGTAAAGCACCGTCGAAATATAGTTGTAACTCTATTTATTTAAGTATCATATTTGAGTTACAACTCAAACAATAAAATCAATATACAGTCAATACAACTTCAAGCACTTCAAGTTATACACTTTTGTTTGAATATCGCCAACAGTGCAACGGAATAACATAAGTCAATGTGTAGCTCGATGTGCTGCCGTCTGTACCAAGCTTTGACCTTCGCCTATTCACCACATTCAAACATAAATATGTACATAATATGCGGCCTCGGTGATTCAGTATAGCAATATTTAACGTAAGAGTTGAATTATTTGGAATTCTCAATAGACTATTTGCTTAGACAGAATCAATGATAATTTGAAATTCAAAAGCCTTTTGCTCTTTTCATAAAAGTCCGCTTTTTATTAACCGACTTAAAAAAGTTTAAGTTCTCAATTCGAAAATTTTTTTTACATTACGTCACCTGTAAACCGATTTCGGTGATTCTTTTTTTGTTGGAAAGAGGGTATTAGTCATATTTAAATTGAAGAAAATATTCCATCTCTAAGGGTGGCAAACTAGGGGTCGAATCCGGTTTCGCTCACTTTCCGGTAACCGATTTCAATAAAACTTGGCAATCAGATATAATTCCACGAACTTTTCAGGTCTTTTTTTTTTTATTTAAAAGTTACAATTATTAAACAATTACTCGTAAGAATTTAAAAACTTATCTTTATATTTTATATTTAAGAATTTTAATACCTATATTTTACCTTTCCGTGTAATTAGAAGTCATACACAACCGTACAAACTAATTTACTTTCTTATTTATTAGATTGCTGTACGTCGTGAGTTGTTTAAGACATAATATACTTTGAACAGTTGCAAACGTATTGACGTCTTTACGTAAAATTCCTTTATTACAAAAGGCTTCTGAATATGATAAACAGTTTTTATGGTAATTTTGCTTGTGTGTGTAACTGATAAAAACGTGGTTAAGGTTCGGTAATTTTTAGTACAGCCAAAAAGATGTGGGTGCTATTAGCTCTAATAGCTGTGGCGGGAGCTACGAGTCTACCAGAACCAATTAAAAAACCAAGTGAGCATTAATTTATTTCTTGTAGAACATTGTTGTAGAAACTCTTAAAGATAAATTTCGATATAATATTGTTTAGTAAAATATAGTGTTGACCTTTGAAAATTGAAATGTGTCTCTCATATTTTTTCTCAATGTACGTTGTGAATCAAAACGAAATAGTGTAACGCAATTGTTTGAAGACTTTGGTGATCCAACGGCTTGCACTGTGGTTGCTGGATGCGGAGGTCCCGGATTCGATTCCCAGTAGGACCAATTTCGGAAATGAACTTAATTTTTTGTTGGGTTTTGGTCGGGTGTTCTGGATAGTACCTCGGAGTGAATTCTCTGGCACTCTAGTACAGGGAATTCTCTAGTTTGAGACCAGGTATTTAATAACACACATTCATAGCCACGCATTAGGGAAACTCTGTATTGTGGGTGTAAACTTTTTACACAAACACAAATTTTACTTTAAACACAAATTACACCTAAATTCACGAGGGATACTAATTTAGGCCATACAAATATTTCTCCCGGCCAGGGAATCGAATCGGGGATCTCTGCGTGGCAGACCAACATGGTAGCCGTTTAGTTTGTGTAGTTTAATTTTAAATTGGTGTGCAGAGAATGGCAGGCTCGTTGATTATCACTTAGGCGCACGACTTGTTAGTTCCATTCATTAGATGATATCATAAAAATAAATACATAATTATAATGTAACTATGTAATAAATAAGTTCTGAAAAGGGCCCAAGTCGCTGGTTTATTTGAAAAAACAAATATACGCGATTTAGATCCGTAAAATAGTTTCATTTTCTAAATAAATAACAAATATACATACTGTGTTAAAATTATTTTTTCAGACATTTTTTACTCAAGATGGATTATAGGGCTACTAATAGAATAGGAAATAAATATCTGATAATAATAATATATAATTATTTATATTATTTATTATAATTATATTTATATAATTATATAATTATTATATAATATATATATATATATATATTATATAATAATTATATTATATTTATATAATTATAATAAATAATATAATTGTTAATTAGACGTTTAAGAATTTAAGTGTTTATTAAATATGTTCATTTTCAGTTCCACCAAAACCATTAAAAAAATGTAGAGGACCCAATGAAAAGTGGGTAAAATGCAGAACATTATGTCCGCCCCAGAGCTGTGATATATCTTACACTACCTACCTCTGCCCTGAAAAACAAAAATGTGAAAGTGGCTGTGATTGCATTAAGGATCATTTGAGGCTTAAGAATGGGACTTGTGTGAAGAACGACGACTGTCCTCCTCGTAGGTTTTTCCATTTTGTACTTTTATTTACTTTTTATAAGTTCATTGCGTGTTATGCACATAAAAACTGCGTGGAGATGGTTCCCTAAGTTCGCACCACAATATAAATTTACTTATATCATTAAGTGACTAATTTGTCGGTAGGTACTTGGTGGAAACATCCGAGGTGGAATGCGTATATCTTAATCGTATTAATAAGAACTCAATTCGGATGATAGGTTACAATAAATAAACATCTACAGTAATATTATAAACGCGAAAGTAACTCTGTTAAGGTGTGTACAAATCAGGCGTAAGTGCCTCCAATGCGCTGCATGTGCGCTGCACGCACGCTGCGCGCGTGCAATTAAGTGAGCCTCTGGAATAATATCTCATAATGCGCGCGAGCGGCGTTCGCACTATATAATGCACATGAGCAGCTCGTGAGCCTTACCGAAACAGGCACATTTGCCTGATTTGTACAGTCAAGACCACGTCAAGCTTGACACTTTAACTTAATTGCCTCTGTGGCCTCACGGCAACCATGCCAGACTGCCACGCAGAGGCCCCAGGTTCGATTTCCGGGCCGGGAGAAATATTTTTATGGCCTACATTTATTTCTCTCGTGAGTTTGGGTGTAATTTATCGTGGTCTATGTTTGTGTCCATGGCACCCGCGACACAGGGTTTCCATAGTTCAGGGCTATGTTGAGTGTGTGCGTTATTATTATTATTATTTTGTACTTTGGTTCTTATCATAAGCGGCATAGAGTTGGATTTAAATCTTAAGTGTCAAGCACGAACCCTTACGTTTTCACGTCTAAACTGCGAAACCACCATTCATGAATTTTGGTATAGAAATAGATGGGACCTTACAGAAGGACGCGTGCTATTTTTGTCATAAAAATAAATTTTAAAGGTGGTGAAAGTTTATATAGAGAACCAATGAAACTATGGAAATTAGTATAGTGCAGTAGGCTTCTCGAAGTTAGTAATTAGTAAATAAAAATGACAATCTAAAATATCTAAACAAAGTAGTAAGTACGTACTAAATATACATAATTATGTTTCAGCCACTCCTGAACCAGGTGAGTGTTAATTTATTTTTGAAAGAAACTGCTTAATTTCATTATACTACTGATGCATTTTTTAAAAGTGGATACTACTATTCCCGTACTAATTAATACGTTTTATGTTACTTGGGTCGACCGACAGGGACACTGGCTTTATTTCAGAATTTATTGTTTTACAAACGAAATTAAAACCATTTGAAAAATGTATATCGTATAGTATACGTGTTCTACTTAGTTCAGTTGATATAAAAATAAGCATTGGTATATATAAAATGCCTCTTGTTTAATAATACAACGTGTTTCTTGTAAAATTTCGAGGTACGTTGGGTATTTTTTATTGTGAAAATTTTAGGAATCGTGTTTTCACACCGTATAGTATATACTCAATTTTACTATATTTTTTTTCTAAGGTGATTGATTCTACACTTTCACTGTTATGCCGAATCAACCAAAGCCATTTGAGGTTGTATAGACTCTTAAATACAGAAACAAGGAGATAAGTTTTTAAAATGGAACATGTTCATAATGTGTTAACGTAATCATTGTTTTTGTGTATAACTTTTTTGTTTTGCAGTATGTGGCTATAACGAAGTATCTGTCCCGTGTCCACAAACATGTCCGCCGCAAGATTGCGAAGCCCTATATTTGAACTACTTATGCGCTCAGAAAGACGATAGTGTGCCTTGTGAGCCTGGATGCAACTGTAAAGAAAACCATCTAAGAAACGCTAGCAAAATCTGCGTACCTGTTGCAGAGTGTCCTCCAGGTGTGTAATTTTCAAAGATCTCATGTTATTTATTTTACTATATCGCTTTTGTACGTAACAAAGTTAATGTTATAATTATTAATACAAAGATCGAACACTTAGAAAAAATTCCTTCAATCCGGCAGGATTTGAACCGACGTCTTCTAGCAAACCGTGCCAGACGCTATGCCAACTAAGCCACGGAACGAACCAGTGGACCTCATGAATTTTTCTATGTGCTTGTTGTCGGATCTTTATATTTGGTTTTCAACGACTTTTTTGCCGTAGCCCCATCTATGAGAAATCTATGAAAGTATTTTGTCACGCAGTCACCTTTACAGCTACCAGCCCCGGATAGAGACGTAGCTATCATTGTAATTAAATTTTTACTGAATTGATATTCAATTTTTTTTTGTGAAATTACTCCACTAGTTTGTTGTAATTATTAATACAATATTATTAATTATAATGAATAGCGACATCTCTAGCCGGAGCTGGTAGCTGTAAAGGTATCTAACTAGGTGACGAAATATTTTCATAGATTTCTTATAGATGGCGTTACGGCTAAAAATTCTTCGAAGGTTTTTTTTCTAAGTTTTTGTATTAATAATTATAACAAACTGGTGGAGAAATTTAACAAAAAAATAATTGAATATCAATTCAATAACAATTTAAAGTTAATATTTTTTTTGCAGCGCCTTGGTTAGGTCGTATAAAGCCTCAAGATCCAACAAACCCGGTAAGCATTATGGTGTAAAAGGGTTTATATAATAAAAGTTCAAAGCTTTTGAATGTAATACGTAATAATAGTTTAATTATTACGTGCATCTTGTAATTAATAATATTAATGTTGTTACAGGTCAAAGGTATGCCGACGACGACGGTCTAACAAACGTGTAATGATGATTGTAAATAATGATTTGTTACTTAAATTTATTTTATGAAATCAAGTAGCGTTTCTTCGAAATGTTAGCAACTTGATCTCAATTTAACATTGCGTTGACCTTTTTAAAACGACTATAAAAGTAAATTCTTTTTTTGATATTTTATTAAATTATTTCTAAGAACTTTGAAATCACTGTCGTTCTTTGTTACGATGTTAAATGCATTTTATTTTCAGGTTCTGCCTCGTATTATCAAGAAATATTTTATGTATTATATGAAGGTTTTCTTATTAATATACTTTACGTAATCTTTTGGAGTATAAGGCCAAAATATACAGTCAATAGCACGCTTTGCATTAAGATTTAAATTGGACTCCACGCCATTTACTTAAATCATAACTTAATTCCAAAATACATTAACAAAATACAACAAAAGTCCACACTCACAAATTAAATTTTGAGAGAAGTAGATTCGCCAAGTAAGTATGTTGCAATTGTCAAGTCTACGTTAGTCATTGCAATAACACTTCCTTCACTCATCACCATTGTTTATGTGAAAGTAAGAAAAAATGCAATAAGTATTAAACCTGTTGTGCCTTTATTTAATTTCTTTATTTTGTATTTTTTTTATATATACAATTAATTTTTTGATATTTTTTTTTATATTTGTAAAATTGGCACACTACGTCTCTCGCTCCGATTAGCTTTCCACTAACTCAAAGGTTGTCAGGAAGAGATCGCTCTTAACGATAAGACCGCCTTTGCCCACATTAGTTTTAAGTTGTTTATGTACTATTCTTGTTCTTGTGTGTGAGCAATAAAGTGTTTATCTATTTATCTATCTATCTGTTGTCAGATAGGTACTGGCAACCTTTCCCACAAAGGCTTACAAACAAACAAACAACACACACACTTATAGATCCGCACTAAGAAAACTTTGTATCGTGGGTTCTATAGACACACACATGGGTAGACAATCACAATTTACACTCAAACCCACGAGAGAAATAAATGTACACCATACAAATATTTCTCCCCGCCCGGAAATCGAACCCCGCACCACGGCATGGCAGTTCAGCATGGTAACCGTTCGACCATGGAGGCAGTTAGACCGTGCTTTGTTTTATATAATCAACATTCGGCCCACGTAGTTACTATTCGAGGAAAAAATCTAAACACCGCGATTCAGTATTTACATAAAATGAGTAAATGTCATCTAGTGAAATTTTATGGAACTGCAAAATGTGCAACGTCGAATGTCGTTATATTATTTATAAAGAAAATTGAAAACACAATGCTCTTACTGATACCGTATTAACAGTGTTTTGTTGCATTAACATAAATATCTAATTCTAATGGTGCCACAAACGATACAAAAATACGCTACTATCAGACGGCACCGTTTGATCGGTACAGTTTATCGCACAATTATGTCCACACACACAATACATTTAGTAATAGTGTTCTTCATTAGAGATGAAACGGATAGTGATTTGGCCGCATACCGGATACCGGATATCCGGTGCCATAAATATGTCGCGACTGGTTTACAGCGCGCATCGCCATGATTGATTGATTAGTGAATGATTGCACTTTCACATTCACGATTTGATTTGTGGTGGTCACGTGGTTTTTATAAAAACAATTAATTTAATCGGTAATACAAACAAATATATGTATGACAGAAAAATTTTAACATTAAGAAATCGCAAATTCGGCATTATTTAAATGTTAACGCTGTTTGTTTGTTGTGCCAAATGCAAATTTCTCGCGGTGGAGGAGGAAAGAAGCAATTACATCATTATTTGGCTGTATTAAAATGTCTACATGTTACAAGTCTAAGCCTAGCACTTGATACGCCCTTTATTATTTTGTTTCAATTTGATTTCATTAATTTGTTTGTAATCTAACTAATTCTAAGTGTTGATACCAGATTTGCCATAAAAAAACTTACACGTTTCATTATGTAGATAGGTACACATAGTATTTGAAGACAGGTCAAATCGATCGTGATCGCGATCCTTTCATTTGATCGTGTGGCAATGACAAGCTAAACTTAAAATTTAACAAAGTTTGCAAAAGTTTATGGCGAAAAACTGTCCTCTGAAGCTGGTCTCGTTTATGAAAATAAATAGAACCAACTTTTATCACTTAATGCATAAACAACTGGTCTTCATCCACTGATTTATTGAAATTTGAGTACTAAATTTACAGGTAACGTTATTTAACTTCAAATAGTTCCTTCAGTTTCAAGTATTAAACAGATTATTAACGGTCCTGTACTTGCTGTATATCGTATTACTATCATCTTTGATCAATAAATGAATTTATTTGGTTGCTGATTATGAATTTTTCTCTGTTTTAAACATCGGGTATCCGGCCGGATATTGTTCTACTATCCGGTATCCGGACGGATAGTAACAATAGGCCAGATACCGGATAGTTACCGTATATCCGTTTTATCTCTAATCTTCGTTCTGTTGCGTTTCGCGACGGAGTCAGACGACTCTTTAGAGGTCGTTGGTTTGAATCTTAAAAAAAATCGACGCGAAGACTCACGCCGATTTTTGTTCAGAGTGCAGCCCAGTGCCGTGAACTTAATTTATTTATTTAGTTAAGATTGCGGTCTTTCTGATCTGTCCGTTGTTGTTGTAGGGGAAAGATACGTACGCCGCCGGTGGAACTTGACTCTAAAGCCATCACATAATTACATTTTGGTTGTTAATACGTATGATGTTATTATGTTTTTATTATTTGACTTAAGTAGCGCGTGAATCACCACTATGGTGGTAAGTAAATATTCATTAGGTACGTGCAAAATACGAAATAGAGGCCCGCCAGGTGTCAACAAAAAGACTTTGATACTTTATTTGTGTATTTAAAAAAAAATTGCCTTTATTTGACATGTGCATGCAAAATCATTATAAAATATTAAATAATTCCTTCATAAATACAAAAACCAACTTAATAGAAAATAAAGAGGAAAAAAAATGATGAAAACTAATAAGCAAAAAAAGCATCTGAAAAAGATCCGTGATGCAGTATCTGAGGCAAGGACTATGCTAATTACGTAGCGCTTGCTGATATGCTGCCAAAGCCTGTCATAAAATAGAACACAACAATTAAAAAAATATAATAAAATTCATGTACTAATTTCTAGAGACAACACAATAACACGCTAAGTAAATTAAATTAAATTTGACACATACAACAATAGACATGAAAATAATCAAATTTAATAATAGAAGTAAATTTAAATTCAAATATATACAAATACACAGAACAGACAAACAGACACAAGCCACCTAGCAAACCCATCCCGAGATTTAATGTGTACGCAATTTGAACAATTTTTGCCACTGCGCAAGTAGCCATACGTGTGTCTGACAATAATTGTATAACCTTGGCCAAATTTTGAATGTGTCCAATAAGTATTACGGAAAACAGGTCCTATTTCTTGAGGATTTTTTTCGTTACCCACAAATACACGTTGGCGTTACTGCATAAAAGTAGTTAAAAACCAAAACTTATGATCTGCAACAAGCACGTAGAAAAATGCGTGAGGTCTGCTGATTCGTTCCGTATCTCAGTTGGGAGAGCGTCAGGCACGGTATGCTGAAAGCGCTGGTTCGAATCCAGCCGGATCTCAAGACTGTTTGATCTTTGTATCAATAATTATAACAAACTTGTGGAGTGAATTCACAAAAAATAATAGAATGTCATCGTGTGAAACGTCGTATATTCAATAAACTTAAAAATAATATTATAATAAATACCCTGGTCGTTTGCGTAATACTTCCAAATTTTACCTGCATAGCTATCGAGTTCGAATGGAGGAGGCTTAGTGTTAATGCAAATGGACAAAATTTGCGAGAATAACTAAAAGTTTGTTACTTGTCTACTGACAGCGCTGAATTAGAGTGCGCGTGACGGTCATGCTTGTGCGCCTTCAGCCATATTAACATGTTATTTGTCTTGGAACACATACTGAGCTAATAAAGTTCCCGAATAGTAGCAGTTGTATTCCAAGTGAAGAGTTTGTCCAGCAAAGCACCATACCTGTTTCTCCGTTTCCGGTTTTGGAGGGTAAGAGCGTTTGCGCTCTACATCCGATTCGTATCAGGGGGTCTACTCTCGATCTCCGTCCGACATCCGTCCGAAACAATTACTGCCAAATAAGCAATACTTGACCAACTGAAAAGACGCGTGATGCGAATGAAGCTTCATTCTTGATACTTGTCTTTTAATTTTGTCGAATATTACTTATATGACAGTAATTGTTTCGGACGGATGTCGGACGGAGATCGAGAGTAGACCCCCAGTTCCGAATCCGAGAAATGACGGTCTGAAATGTCACAGGGATCATTTTATCTCCAGGTCTACAAAAGATATTCGAATTTTCTCGGATTTAGTGCACTAGCGAGATCCGAAGTGGGTCCGAGTTTTCTAGATTTATATACTCTCGCATTCCGAACGAATATGAATCGGATTTGCGCAAACACGCTAAGGGTATCGGTGAAAGTGCTGACTTCAACTTTTTGTATCAGGGAGATGGGTGCAGTGGCAGTGCCCTTCACATCTTTGTGATTTAAAACTGAGACTGGCACGCAATGTTTATAGGTCGCTTACCAGCAGGCGCACGACTTATTCGTCCTGTTATTTGGTATCATAAAAAATACAGAAGGCGTATGTCGGCAGCATATATACGTTGTATTACGTTACGGACACTATTTATATTATGTAGGGAATGTTTATTAACATTATAAGTGACGGTATGTACTTTACGTTGTTTATACTCAATGAGGGATTATTGTTTCATCAGAGTTCTTTCTTGCTGACTCCGCATACGTCAAGAGTCGACATAACCTGAAACGGCTTTGGTTGATTCCGCAGAACCAATCACTTCGGAGAAAATATATAGCAAAATTGAGGACGTACACTGATTAGTACACGTATAAGGTATGAAAACACGATACTTAAAAAGAATTATAGAAAAAAAACCCAACTTACCTCGAAATTTTACAAGAAAACCGATTGTATCAACTGAAGTAAATAAAACACGCACAGTATACGATATGTACATTTTTCAAAGGGCTTTAATTTCGTTTGTAAAAACATAAATTCTGAAATAAAGCCAGCGTCATTGCCGCTCGACCCAAGCAAAATGAACCGTATTAGTACGGGAAAAATGTGAATTCGAGCTGAGGTCGTATCGACTCTTAAAGGTGTGTGGCATGCGGTTCTGTAATAGCTTTATAAGATTTTAAGCGACTGCTTGACGTAGTTGCAGTCTTGGTAAATTGGAGCATGATTAAATACCTAAAAATGATTTTTTTACTTAGATACTTCTGTCGCGTAGAACAGAAGTCTAATACTTAGTAATACAGGCTGACCCTTTGGCAGTGGTTTTATTTTTAAAAAAAGACGTCGTAACAACCCATTTAAAATAAATAAATGAACGCCGAAAAGTACAAGTTGCAATAACGGAATTGGAGAGATTAGATAGACTTTTCCCAGGCTGAAAATAAAGTTTTTACGTCGATGTCGTTTTTGTATAATAATTCAAGCCAGGTACTTTGAAAACTCGTATTAAAAGAATCTTTGTTTTGATTTTTCGAAACTCATTTGGCATTGGCATTGACAGTGGAACAATCGTGAGCTTGATGATAAGCTACACTTCTGTTCACAACAGTTGCAGTGCCACCAAGAGCTTTAAATCGCAAAGATCTGAGCGGCACTGCTAATGCGCCCGTCACCCTGAGACATAAGTTGACACGTCCCACGTGCCTGTAATTTCACCAACACCCTTCAAGACCGGCAGAAGTAGGTAAGGTGGCAGTACTACCCTGGACGAACTCTTTCACAAGTACCTCTATTGCTACTAAAAGAGCTGTACAATATAGTCACTGAACAAATAAAGTTTCACAAAGTTTATTCTCTAAATTGACAGACCTATTCATTAAATTATTTTGTAAACAGGGAAACAATTAACAAATGACAAAGTTTGTACAGTTGCAAATTTATTGACGTACATACATCTATAAAATATTTGTTATTTCAAAAGACTTGAAGAGCTGAATAAATTGTTTTTGTTTCATTTGTTTGTATTTTCAATTGATAAAAGTGTGGTTAACGTTTGTATTTTCTTAGTATAGTCTGGGAGATGTGGGTGTTATTAGCTCTTATAACTCTAGCAGGAGCTACGAGTACGATAAAAGATTCACGTGAGTTACTGTCATTGTATATTTATTTTACTAAAACATTTTTACTTGCGTAAGAAATCTTTTCATTGTTGTTAGAAAGAGCCGGAATATTACTATTGGTAACGCATAATAATATTTATGTATCAGACCCAATGAGGTTTGGTGCCATGATCTGTAGAAAAAAACCTTCTTTTTTTTTAACACCAGCGCTTTCAAAACCAGTCATCTACTGCGGGTCCAAATGCTACCTACTCTAATTCACATCGCGGAGATCCGCAATCATCTTGACAGAAATTACTGATATTAGCCTACACGCAATTGCAAGAAAAGGTTTTATAAATACGAACTCTGCTTTATTTGAAAATGAATGCATTTTTGTGAATCAGTATTGTGAAATATTTTCTAGATACGATCTTTAATAGGTGCAAATTAATATTTATTAAAAGTGTACGTATATAGAGTATTAATCTATTGAATTCTTGACCAAACCAATTTGTAACTTGACATGTTCATGACATATTTTTATTATTGTGTTGTGGTAGGATTGAGATTTTATAACTAGACATTTGCATGCTGTTTAATATACGCACAACATGTTTGTACTGGCAATGTCTCTTGTAACATCTTCTGTTATACCATGTTTTAAGAAAATAAACGAACTATTATTATTATTATTATTATTATTATTATTAATATTGTTAATACCCTGTTTTAGCGGGACAACCCGATGAGCTGACTATTGCAACCTGTCCAAGAGGTAAAATGAAATTTTGTGCAATCAAAATATAACTTTGTCTTACAATACCAGTTTTCTGTTTACAAACGATCCTTAAAATTAATAAAGAATAGTATATCATGGTTGTAGCATAATGACGGGGAACCTTTTTGTGATTTTTATTAAATATACTTCCGGATACATAATTCGAACCACCTTGCATTTTTGTCTTAAAGGGCTACAATACAAAAGTAGTGTTATCGTCGAAGACAATATTTTCTCCCGGTTTTGCAAATCAAAATTTCCAACATGGATTTATGGAAAAGACGTTTAGCATACTAATTTCAAAATTGCTTTATAGTTTTTGATTAATCAAACATTGTTTAAGTGGAGGATTTAAGTAAGTTACTTGCCTGTCCATAACAGGTGCAGTGCCACTCAGAGCTTTAAATCGCAAAGATCTGAAGGGCACTGCCACTGCGCCCGATACCCTGAGACATAAGTTGCCAAGTTCCAGGTGCCTGTAATTCGATCAAAACCTATTCTCAAGCCATTTAAATATGCAAAGGTGCTAATGGACAATGGGTAACTTGGAAACAACATTTAAACAACTATTCGAGAGATTTTTTCTGACTTTTGTTAAAAATTTCGATGAATACCAATTCCTAAACCATCCAAAAATGCAAAGGTCCAAATGAAAAATGGGTAAAATGGACAACAAAATGTCTACCCTAGCTGTGATATATCTGACACTACGCACAAATATTCAACTTTAACTGCCTCTGTGGCCGAACGGTTACCATGCCGGGCTGCCACGCAAAAGTTCCCAGGTTCGATTCCTGGGGCGGGAGAAATATTTGTATGGCCTACATTTATTTCTCTCTTGAGTATGGGTGTAATATGTGGTTGTCTACGTGTGTGTCCATGGCACCCGAGACATAGGGTTTCCCTAGTCCGTACTAGGGAAACCCTATAGCCCCGTGGCTATGTTGAGTGTGTACGTTATTATTATTATCATTATCATTCAACAAAACAAAAATGCGACTAAAACGTTAGATATCACGCTATAACAGTAAAAAAAATCTTTTGTGATTTTTTAAAATATTTTCAAGACCAACCAAAAGCAACCAATTCCCAAACCATACAAAAAATGCAAAGGTCCAAATGAAAAATGGGTAAAATGCAGAACAATATGTCCGCCTCAGAGCTGTGATATATCTTACACTGAATACCTCTGTCCAAAAGAACAAAAATGCAAAGGGGGCTGTGACTGCACTAAGGATTATTTGAGACTTAACAATGGGACTTGTGTAAATAACGATGACTGTCCACCTCGTAAGTAGTTTCCAAATGTGTTATTTTGCAGATCAAATGCCTGCTATATAATTTGTCCGCATAAAGGCCGCGTTGATAGCATAGAATATAACTATACCTTGCTTTACTATTATCAATGACTGACAATGATTTCTAAATTATTTGTTGGTAAGTACTGGCAGGAACGTTCTTATATACCTTTGCCAAATGTAAATAAAAGTTTGGCGAGTTATCGTATTAAAAAATGTATATTGATAATTTTGATAAGAAAAAAATGAAACCACAGAACTCAAAAATGCGGTATTTTTATATTATAGTAAGTGAATGCTTGATGAGGCTTTCCAGTCGTTCCTTTTTCTTTGATTAATCAATGATAATTTTCATATATGTCAAATGGATTTCGGAGGCTCAGTGTTGTAACTATTTGAATTATTTTCTAAATGGACTATAGGACCACTTATAGATGCAAATAATATGCTATAAGTACAGAGTATGATTACTGTTTATAATTTGTTTTAGAGGGACAACCTGTTGAACCAACTACTATTGCACCCTGTCCTGAAGGTAAAAATACTGCTTTTTAATCAAGAAATATTTTGTGATTAATATGATATAGTATAGCGCGCTCTATCTAGTGAAAGCGGAGTTTTTTGTGATTTTCATTATGACTAAATCCTATTCTAAAACTATGTAAAAATGCAAAGGTTCCAATGAAAAATGGGTAAAATGCAGAACAATATAATCGCACCGGTGTATAGATGTATCCTATTACACTATGCACAACTCTCCAACGAAAAAAAATGCATTTAAAAATTAGATGTCACGGTGTAGCAGATGATCGAGAAACTTTGTGTGATTTTTTGAAATACTTTCAGAACCAAAACCCAAACCACCCAAAAAATGCAAAGGTCCAAATGAAAAATGGGTAAAATGCAAAACAATATGTCCGCCCCAGAGGTGTGATATATCCTACACTACCTACAACTGTCAAAAAAAACAAAAATGCATAAGTGGCTGTGACTGCATTAAAGATTATTTGAGGGTTAACAATGGGACTTGTGTAAAGAACGATGACTGTCCTCCACCTCGTAAGTATTTTGAAGATTTATTTTTTGTAACCCTGTTATATATTTTGTTCGCATGAAAACTGTGTACTTTGAGCATAAATAACTACAATCTAATATACCTAACCTAACATTGTTATTGCCATTGACTGACATTGATATCTAAGTAATAGTTGGTAACTACTTGGTAGAGACATACTCAAAAAATGACAGAATTCGTAAATCTTAACAAATTTAATAACGGTATTCATGTGTAATAAAAATGAATAACAAAAAATCAAAAATTAAAGCATACAACTAAAAATATCGCAATACATAGTAAGTACTTAGCAAACGTACCTATCATTCCAGCCTCTCCGGAACCATCAACTGAAAAACCAAGTAAGTATTAAATGATTAAGTACCGGGAAGTTATTTCACAAAAAATCTCACTAAATACTAGATTTGATCGAAAGCGACATCCGCGTCAGTTGGAATACCTGTAAAGGTATCGGCTGCGGTGAGAAGGTTATTTGAAAATCTCTCACAAAATAAATGCCGAATGCCACAAGCCAGTACAAAGATCTACAACAAAAACACATACGAGAATTTGGACGGCTCGGTAACTGGACCCGTAGCGCAGTTGGCAAAGAGCAATGCTACGGTGCAACATGGACGTGGTTGAAGTCCCACCGGATTGACGAAAATTTTTCTGTGTGTTTGATCTTTGTATTCGTAATTAAAACAAAATCAGTGGAGTTATTCACAAAATAATATAAGAAAGTTTTAACTGTTTAAATCGAAGTAGTCCTCTTCCGGAATGGTAACATGTACAAAATCTGATGAAATCTGGAATTCCTGTCCTTCGGGTTATAGCGGAGAGTACGAAATATATTAACAATAGTTTTCGGTATGCAATTCAATTTTCGAAAACTGTTCATCAAAATTTATTTGTACGAGAGTAACACAAGCCTGGTAAATTAATTATGATAACTTACTGTCGTTCAAATTAAGTAATATCAAA